ATATATATATGTATGTATGTATAGTAATATTTTAATAATTAGCTTACAATATTACCCATGAATGCATCGCATTCAGTTGCATTGTGCTCAAGTGATTGTGTGTCCCACGACGCGTTYGCGTTGGCGTAACAGCTTATCGCGACAAAGGCGGCTTTAGCAACACAGCGATGGTGGTGATTGCACTGTGGCGACGGTGACGACGACAACGACGGCAACGACAACAACACGTACGGCGGCGGCACCGTGGCTACAATGGTGTTGTGAAGAGTAGAACACGATGTTGAATACAATGTGTGTCCACTATAAACGGTGCGCTTGTTGTTGACAACTGGAGTGAAATTTTTTTTTTTTTGACCATGGTAGCTTATATGCCACCTCTCAACTGATATACCTACGTGGACGAAGTAGTTTTAATATTTACAAAAAGAAATATAAAATTACCTCGAATATATATTATATAGATATATATTATATTAGTTATCCTTCTGAAGTTGTTTCTCTTCCGAAAATTATGACCACGACACCGCTGCCACCAGTTGTTGTGCTCGTACGGGTTGTTCCGTATGAACGTTGTTTTTTCGTTAGTGTGATGGTTCGATTTTTGGAGAGAGTACAACAAAACAATTTTAAAGATTTAAATACTAATATAATTTTATTGTGAGTCGAAATATATAATTCACTGTATAATTTATTATTGATGRTCAGAACGACGTAGAAGTTTAAAAGAGTTAAGACGACTGACTCTACGGTTCCCTAGCGGGTGCCGTGTAGCCRCAATATTCCGGGAGTCGCCCACACATTAGGCGTTACCCGTAGACTACAATAATATACTCTTATGTTCTAATACAACAGGCTAATACAATATACTAATAGCTAATGCGTTCATAACACCACTATGAAGTCATGCAAAAACATTATGGAGACAAAATTGAGCTCATGTATACAGATACGGGTAAATATATGCATATGTCATATATGTTAATAATATGTTAATTTATCATGTATAATAATTGACATTACTTTTTAGATTCACTGGTTTACTATATTCAGACTGATGATTTTTACGAAGACTTGGCAAAYAACGTCAATTTGCTGGAACGGATGGACACAGCAAATCTCTCAAAAGACCATCCGTGTTACATTGCCGAGAGGAAGAAGATCCCGGGTTTGTTTTCTGATGAGACGGATGGGCTCATTATGACTGAGTTTTGTGCGTTGATGGCAAAGTMATACGCATATATTCTACAAGGCAAGGAGAAGATCAAAGCCGAGGGAATCCGTGGGCACGTGGTCAAGAATYACATGACATTCGATGACCATAAGAAGTGCCTGTTTGATGACAGTGATTTAGACGTTTACCGTCAAAATGTCTCCAAACGCTCATTCAAACACCAGCTCAAGACCATTAAATCCAACAAATTAACTTATAATAACTATGATGACAAGAGGATTATACTCGAAGACAATATACATAMCTACGCTCATGGGCATTATAAATTTGTTTGCTAATTGTATTCATAAAAAATATGTATATATGCGGTTTATTTTATAGTAATAAAAGTCTTATACTGTATTTCAAATCTTGTTATTATTTATATTTCCTTTATACATACATTTGTTTACATTTGAATCAACTTACATTGCAAAGGTACATATAGGGTAGAAAATTGAGAGTATGCCGCAATGATATTTAATATACCTATCATTAAATATATTCGGGTTTGATAAAATAATTAATAATAAAAATAAATCATGCCGAGTTTTTTTCTTAGTACTAGTTGTTAATATAATTACTAATAATCACATACATATTTTATTAAATTCCATAATATAAATARACATATTATATAAAAAATATATCATAATTTTGATAAAAGCAATAATAATTGACATACCTACCTAGATAATGTTATCAAATTTGAAGAAGAATGTCTTAAGTTCATTGAAAACATCCTTATATAATACCCATATTGCTATTAAAAACATGATCAAATAACTGTATTTTATCAAATATATCGTAAATAATCTGATAATATTACAAGTATTTTGAAAAAACATACTCGAAAAGGTTAGTATTTTGAATTAGTATTATGAGTACCTATGGTAAAATATTTAAGGAATATTTTTAATATTTTTTACTTTAACCATGGCATTTATTTGATCGACATGCAATTAGTTAAAGGAAATRTCTACCATAGTGTTCTAAGTGTTCAGGTGCAAGCTATWAGTATTTCGATTTAAATATATAGTGGCTATTAAGAGTCTGCGACATCCTGGCGACACGGGTGGTTATTAGGCAGGTTGTATCTAATAGGAATTTATTTGATTAACGCGTTGTTAGTTAATTAATGTCGATACAGCGTTAAAATGATAATATTCATACCTAATGACATAAATTGTCTCCTAATGACAATACGGTGGAAGCCATTCGTACTTATAAATGTTTATTATGCAAAGAACTAGCTTTAGGCCAGACTGAGAAAAAAAATTGAAAAAATGAAAGGCCATAATTCATCATGACTACATTATCACACGGCAAAGATAAAGTTTTTACGACTACATATTCTCCTCCAAAACTACACAAGGTTAGTGTAGGTTAGAATAAGTAAGTCTCCTGTAGGTTATACTGAGAAAGAAAAATGTGATTAAAAAAAAAAAAAATGAATGGTTACTTTATCTTCACCGTGTGATGATGTAGTCATGATGAATCATGGCCTTTCATTTTTTCAATTTTTTTTCTCAGTCTGGCCTAAAGTTCAAAGGTCTTAATTTATAATAATATACCAAATACTGCATTATTCATAAGTTTAAAAAAGTCTTTCTCAAAATCAAAAACTAACCTAACCTTTCCATGTCTTTTTAACGAATCTTTGATAATTTTTATACCTTCAAACGAGTTATAATTATTAATAATGTATAATGTATAATAATGCATATATATATAATAATGTATAGAACTAAGAATAATTAACTTATTTCATATTATTGATACTTCACCTATCTCCTTTATATATTATATGTTAAATAGAAGACAAATATGGAAGTAATGCACTAGACGTTTTTATTTTATTTATAATTATCTGAACCCGTGCACTTGTAGCCCGTTACAAATACTACCTCTAATGTGTCTCAAACTGTGTGTTGAATTCGTTACTTGTGATAATGCTAGCAATTTATTTTTATGCATATAGATAGATAACTGTTAAAATATATTGATTAATAATCTTACAACGATATAATTGTCCAACGTAACAGTTTTCAATGTAAGAAACATGGATTTTTAAATTCAGCTACACACTTGTAACAATAAAATTGTCCTTGTGCTTTGTCACACCGGAAAATGCAAATGTTTGAATTCCAAAAGCATATTTGTGGGAATAATTGGGATGCTTGTCAACAGTACATCTTCACCTTCACTTTCCGTTTAAAATTATTCATAGCTTCAATGATGTTGTTCATCAACTTTTTCACTGAAATCCTGGTACCGTTACAGAGTCGTGATGGATTGATATTTCATAGAAGAATGA